AAAGTCAATTCCGATTCTCGATTTTCCCCCTTCTCAGGGTGTAGGATAAATGACTGTTTTCAAATTGCGGCCTCCTTTTTTTAATATTTGTACTCTTAAAAACCAGCACATATTTCAATTAAATGATGCTGTTTATATACAAAATTATTATTGAATAATTTATATACTTTATTCTTTTTATATTATTCTTTTATTCTATTTTTTATATTATACTATATGATTCACGCATAAGTTCGTCAGGTGCTTCTTCACCTCAAATACAACAAAAAGTACTATGGCCGATTCTCAACCCTTTCGGAGATATTAAACTTTTTTCAAAATAAAAGCACCAAAAAAAAGGAAAGTCAGCATTTTTCTACTTTGGTTGCGTACTCTGTTTATTGTTATGTGTTTTGTTTGATTTTTCGTTCAATTTTTCTTTTGTTGTGCTGTGTGTTAGGTTAAAGTTGTGTTTTACAACTTCCGTTCATCTTGTTGTTCTCTCTCTCTCTCTCTCTCTCTTTTTTTCTTTCGTTCTCCCTCTTTCTCTCTTTCTTTCTCTCTCTCTTTCTTTCTTTCTTTCTCTCTCTTTCTCTTTCTTTCTTTCTCTCTCTCTTTCTCTCTCTCTCTTTCTTTCTTTCCCTCTCTTTCTTTCTCTCTCTCTTTCTTTGTGTCTTTCTTTCTCTCTCTTTCTTTCTGTTTCTCTCTTTCTCTCTCTCTCTTTCTCACTCTCTCTCTCTTTCTCTCTCTCTCTCTCTCTCTTTCTCACTCTCTCTCTCTTTCTCACTCTCGCTCTATTCTCTCTCTCTCTCTCTCTCTCTCTCTCTCTCTCTCTCTCTCTCTCTCTCTCTCTCTCCCTCCCTCTCTCTCTTTCGATCTTTCCTCCAATTTTTCTGCTTTGGTTGTTCACTATGTTTATTCTCTTTTTTTTATATTGTGCAATATGCTGCAAGTGCCTTTAATCAATTCTATACGAACAGAAATGACGATAATTTGTATAAGTCATGTTTTCTTTCTTTCGTCATTGTAAAATTATCTTTTTTATAGGTTTTGTTTCATTTTTCTTTCTGTCTGTTCTGTTTTATTAAGTAAAGTCAAATAAATTTTGGCTAGGACAAAAAGTTGAATTACTTAACCGCCCCACCCCTTTTTTCCCACCGTCACCACTTTTTACTCATTTTGTATAAAATTTCTGCATTTGGGTTCGGTGTAATTATAAAAGGGCGTATACCGCTAGAGAGCTTATTAAACGAAGAAATTGTTATGAAATTTGCTAAGCTATACCGTGAATCTTTTCAACGAGGTTGCAAATTTGTTTTACTTTTTTTACAAATATTAAATTTAGATGTTTTTGAAAGATGTAGTTTTTTCAAAAATTAAATTGAAAGTTCTTGAAGGATGCCCTTCTTAAAAGGCATTTAACTCTCTTTTTTATTCAATTAATTAATCTTTATGTTAGGTATTGGTTGAGATAAAAAAAGCTGTGTCACGAGCGGGATTCGAACCCACGACCCTTGACTAAATACGCCGCTGCTCTAACCACTTGAGCTATTGTGACTTCGATCCACTCCGACACCAACTTCCCATCCCAATCCCACTTTTTTTAAATTTTCCCTCTATTTTCTATATTTTGTTTAATTATTTCCCCAAAAATAAAAAGTTCTAGAGCTAAGAGTAGTTTTATAGAAAAATTGTTTTCACAGTTAGTGAGTAGGAACTATCTTTTTCTAAAGATTGAACAACATCACCCCACCATTTATCATTTCTATTAATTTGTAGTCAAAGCATAAATGGATCATAACGCAGTGAATAACACTAGCTTGACCTACTTAAAATCATCCAGTAAACAAGAACTCAACTTAAAACTTTATTATAAATTAAGACTTTCATGCTCAAAAACCAACAATTCAACCTGGTTCAACCCCCAATGTTTGAAATTAAGCCTAACCCCAAAATTCGTTTCTTGCTAAATTAAATGCTAAAAATTTACCAACTCTCTTACAACATAAATGCCATGAAACCATATTAAATAATGAATTACATAAATTGTATACTCAAAGTAGAATGGGATAAATTCGATTATGTTATCAAATGTTAAATTTATCATTGATAAAAAACAAAGTATCTTGGATAAAAAAATTAAAAACATGAAGTACGGAACATTTAAAAATAAAAATACTCATAAACAACACCAATCAAATTACCCAAGGGTTATAAACTTAACAAACATGGTACTAAATAAAGAAAAAATTTATTAAATGGAGGCTTAAAATGTGTCCCAAAAACAGAACTAGATACAAAAAAACTACTATCTAACTGTAACTACGAACTATGTTTTTTTATAAAGATCAAGTAGATTTATGACGAAAACCTTAGATATGTAGTGAATCATTCTCAATAAAAATAATTGTTCTCTATATACATAGCATCATTCAGTAATCATAATAATTGATTTTTTTTAATGACGTCTTGATTATTTATATTTTGGTTTTGTAATTTGGGCAGTGTACAAACCTTCCACTAGTTGATTGTTATTGACAGAAATCACGCGCGCAGTTGTGCATTGCCTATTCTGATTTGCCATGCATTGGTAATATTCTCAAATTACATTCAGGATGTGCTTCACCCTCCTCTAAAATAACACAAACCGTATAATTTATTTTGATTCTTGTCAAAGAAAGCGTTAAAAATGCCGACACAATGTGATTACCAATGCTTGTCCCACAAACCCCTAAGGGAAATTTAAAAAGCAACCAACAGTTTAAACTGACTTTTAGCGGGAAAAACCCATAGTACGTTCTATACAGCATACTGTACATTGAATTCTACACTGTATAAAAGAAAAGTAAATATATGAAATAAACAAATCTCTGTACAAAATAAGCTAAATAACAAATTGAAACATTTAAAATTGAGGAAAAATATTAACACATATAAATATATTTAACTACTGCGTTTTCCTATTAAATGGTGAATGTTAAATTTTTAAAATATTCGGACTGTTTGGTGAATGTTAGATTATTAAAATCTTTAAAATGTTTTGCAATTGTTACATTTTTTAAAAATTGACAAAGTTTGGTTAATATTAGATTTTAAAAATTTTCTGAAAGTTTGGTGAATGTTAAATTTTAAAAATATTCACACTGTTTGGTGAATGTTAAATTTTTAAAATATTCAGACTGTTTGGTGAATATTATATTATTATAATCTTCAAAATGTCTGGTGAACGTTAGATTTTTCAAAATTTCACAATGTTTTGCAAATGTTAGATTTTTAAAATATTCAGAATGTTTGGTGAATGTTAGATTATTCACATCTTCAAAATGTTTTGCAAATGTTAGATTTTTATAATATTCAGAATGTTTGGTGAATGTTACATTGTTAAAATATTCAGACTGTTTGGTGAATATTATATTATTATAATCTTCAGTGTCTGGTGAACGTTAGATTTTTCAAAATTTCACAATGTTTGATGAATGTTAGATTTTTAAAATCTTCTGAAAGTTGGGTGAATGTTAAATTTTCAAAAATATTCGGTCAGTTTGGTGAATGTTAGTTTATTAAACCATCAAAATGATTGGTGAATGTTAGATTTTTTAAAATATTTGGAAGTTTGTTATATTACATTATTAAAATGTTATGTTATATTATTAAAATCTTCAAAATGTTTGGTGAATCTGAGATTATTAAATCATCAGAAAATTAAATCAAATTAAAATCGTCAAATGTGAGTTGCATGCAAATGCAAATGATAGATTTTTAAAATCTTCAGAATGTTTGGCGAATGTTAAATTTTTAAAATATTCGGTCTGTTTGGCGAATGTTAGATTTTTAAATTATCAAAATAATTGGTAAATGTTAGATTTGTAAAATATTGGGTCTGTTTGGCGAATGTTAGATTTTTAAATTATCAAAATAATTGGTAAATGTTAGATTTTTAAAATATTCGGTCTGTTTGGCGAATGTTAGATTTTTAAATTATCAAAATAATTGGTAAATGTTAGATTTTTAAAATATTCGGTCTGTTTGGCGAATGTTAGATTTTTAAATTATCAAAATAATTGGTAAATGTTAGATTTTTAAAATATTCGGTCTGTTTGGCGAATGTTAGATTTTTAAATTATCAAAATAATTGGTAAATGTTAGATTTTTAAAATATTCGGTCTGTTTGGCGAATGTTAGATTTTTAAATTATCAAAATAATTGGTAAATGTTAGATTTTTAAAATATTCGGAATGTTTGGTGAATGTTAGATTTTTAAAATCCTGTGAATGTTTAGTGGATGTTAGGTTTTAAAAATCTTCAGAACGTTTGGCGTATGTTACATTTTTAAAATATTCTGTCTGTTTGGTGAATGTTAGATTATTAAATTATCAAAATGATTGGTAAATTTTAGATTTTTAAAATATTCGTAATGTTTATTGAATGTTAGATTTTTAAAATCCTGTGAATGTTTAGTGAATGTTAGGTTTTTGAAATCTAAAGAACGTTTGGCGTATGTTAGATTTTTAAAATATTCTGTCTGTTTGGTGAATGTTAGATTATTAAATTATCAAAATGATTGCTAAATTTTAGATTTTTAAAATATTCGTAATGTTTAGTGAATGTTAGATTTTTAAAATATTTCGAATTTTTAGGGAATGTTAGATTTTAAAAAATAGAAAAAATCTCATCTGAAAACCACAGCAGGTTAACCCATTCAATCATGTACAACTATTAGATATATTTATTTATATACATAAGTTAGTCTATCTAATTTAATTTACTTAAGTACTAAAATTACCAGTTCCCTTCATCCTGTTTTAAGGAGCTCACATAAATTGGATTATTAGAAATATGCAATGAAAAATCATGCACAATGTAAAATTAAAGGCATATAATTAGATTTAATGTTAATATTTCTCGTGTGTTATGATTTTTACCGATTCTCCTGTAAATGTTAATTAACTGATGTACATTAGTTCTACTTGCATGTTTCTATTCTGTTTTCTTTTTTTGTCTTTTTTCGCCAATCTAAAAACCTCGAGGTAAAGAAAAATGTTGACTTTGATAATCAAAATTGAAGGCAGTAAATGCATTTGTTATGGAGTTATAACACTCATACACATTGCTTTAAGTCCTTATCCTTCCAGGATTTGTAGAAAATTCCGAAACGTCAACTTCTCCCCTTTTTTTTTCTTCGACGTACGCATGACATTATGCAACCCACATAGAAGATTTGCGTCCAGGTTTTGCGAGTGTGTAAAATGGCGCTTGCAGGAAGCAGGGGGTTGATCCCGAAATAGGGGTTGTTTTCCAAAGGGGAACTTGGTCCGGAACGTTAGTCCAAAAAAATTTTTTCCAAGCGAAGCCCGACGTCTACCGCACTCGGAACCATTCCGACAAATCCAATTTTGCGCCTCAAGACCCGGGTTTGGAAAATATGGAAAACGGTGTTTGCAGGAAAATGGGGTTGATTCCGGGACGGGTAGTAGGGTCGCGAAGTCGAGCTTTGTCTGAAATGGTAGTAGAACCTGTGGAGGGACCGACCTGGCCACCAGTCAGCTTTCAGTGAGTGTCGAGGGAGTATCGTCGAGCTTTAGGACTTAGCGAGTGGTCCACATCTTCTGAGCTTGTCTTTTTGAGAAACTCACTCCGTTCATCCTATTGATCCGATGATAAAAGTCCCCCGGAGCGACAAGACCCGCGAGTGCATGTGCTGTGTCCTTTCCTAGGGGTATGGGAGTTTTGGAATCTGCCGGCATCCTCGGATCGTTTCTCTACCTCTCAAAGGCTGTTTAAAAATATAAGACTCTGCTGAAAAACACCAATTTCATCTTTACATAATTTACCAGTAAGTATTACTACTGTGGAATGTTTTTACATAATTACTAGTGAAGTAGTAACCTTAGCCTTTTTCTTATCTATTTATGTATTCATTTTCTAGCATTACGAATTGTTTTAAATCTATCGAATTAAAATTTCCCTTCTATTCTCTGGTTATTTTCTAAAATTTACTTTATCCCACTTTTTTTTCGAGGTGTTTTGCATATATACTCTTACTTCATGACAAGAAATCAAAAAGTAAATTTTTAGTTTCCTAAGTTTTTTTTTTTATAAAATAGATATTGGCTTAGCACTCTGTCTGCTAATAAATTCACTTTGATTAAAGCCTGTACTCCATATTGTTTATGTGCCTTCAAATTATCGCATGTTTCCAATACGAAAGGTGATCAATATTGTGTTAATATTTTTTTAAATGTTAATTTTATAATCCTACGTTCTATTTAGGTACTGGACACAAGGAAAAATCTTTATTTTTTTAAACATTCATTCAAGATACAGAGTATAGGTTTTGTTTTGAAAAACTACCCTTTAGTCATTGTTTTTCGGATTTACGTCGGAATAATAACACAAATAATTATTGCTTTTTATTACCACAACAAAAATCGTCGTATTTGTAGTTTTTTAACCAATTTATTTTAACTTACATTTTAAAGACACGAAATTAAGTTTATTACTTAATTTCCTTTTTGAGAAGTCATTTAGCAAGGCTAAACTATCAAAGATAATATATGCTTTTTGCAATGCAAAGAAAAATATTAAAAAATATTTTTTTAAAGCATTAATTCAAAACAGAAGCAAGGGTTCTTTTTCAAATTTCCCTTTAATCGTGATTTTCGAATTTAGAACTGTAATAATAAAGAAAAATAATTGTTGATAATTACTGCCACCACTGAAAACGTGGTATTTGGTGTTTTTTTATTTGAATTTCATTTTAAAAATGCGAACCCCTTGTTTATTACATCATTTTCCTTCTGTCAAGCCATTTAGTATGTTTCAAATATCAAAGTAATATAATTTTTTGTAAATTTTAATTTTATACTATTATGATTTATGTAGGTACTGAATTTAAGGGAAAATATAAGAAAAAAAAACCTTCATAACATCAAGGGTTATAGATTTATTTTTTAAAAAACTGGCCTTTAATCGTGGTTTTTCGGGCTTAGAACTGGAATAATAAGAAAAATAATTGTTGCTAATTACGTGGTATTTAGAATTTTTTAGACATTTTATTTGTAATTATATTTTAAAAAGACCAATCCCTTGTTTAATACTTGTTTTCTTTCTGTGAAGACATTTTCCACGTTTCAAATATCAAAGGTAATTATTTTAAACTATAATTTTATACGATTATGTTTGATGTAGGTACTGAGAACAAGGAAAAATTTCAAAAATGTTTTTTTTTAAACATTCGTTTTAGATACCTGCAGGGTATAGGTTTCTTTTTAAAAATTGGACTTTTATCGCGGTTTTTCGAATTTAGAATTGGAATCATAAGAAATGCTTAATTATACCACAACTGAAATCTTACTATTTGGAGGGTTTTAGCCAATTTATGTGTACTTAGATTTTAATAGGACGAATCCCATGTTTATTACTTAATTTTCTTTTTGTAAAGCCATTTAGCACGATTCAAATATCAAAGGTAATATACTATTTTAAAATAGAATTTCAACAATAATGTTTTATATACGTACTGAATATAAGGAAAAATTTTCAAAATGCCAGCAGATTTAATTTTTAAAACCTGGCCTATAATCCTTGTTTGTCTAATTTCAAATTGGAATAATAAAAAATTCAAAAAAAACTATCGTTATTTACTGTCAAAGTAGAAAATGTAGTGTTTGGAGGGTTATTTTGTTTGTATTTACTTTTTTAAAAAACACGAATCCCGTGTTCATTTTTTTTGTGAAGTTATTTTATTAAAGTCTTTGGTGTACAATAACGAAACCTTCCCATGCTTAATTAAGCCTGAGATTCGATCTTGCAGTTGTTATATTGTTTTTTAATTAAATTTTGAAGTATATGTTGCTTGACACCCGATCTTAAAATACAAAACGCGATATGCTTAATATTTGTACAACAGGCGACGTTTCATTAATGTAAACACGCCCAGATGCATACATATTTTTGCATTTTGTTTATATCTGGCGTAAATTTCCGCTTTATATGCCTGGGGCAGGGGATAAGCACTTTTTAAAAAACAATCAAAAATATAGTTATATTAAATATACGATATATTTTATCTTGTTTGCCAGATTGCTAGGGAGTAAACTAGTTTAAATTGTATTTAGCCATTACAGATGTTCGGATAATGATCAATAGAGGGATTAATTAAGAATAAATCTAATTTATATATTTTTATATTTATTTTTTTAAGGATGTAGAGGGAGCAGATTTTACCGCGCGATCCGATGGTCTTGTTTAACGAGTTTCTCAAAAGCAGGTTTTTTGTCTGACCGCCTTCACTTTACACCTACTTTTTAGAAGACATTTATAAATTTCCATCCGGTTTTTCGAAATTCAGAACGACCCAAAAAATAATATTTTCAATTTTTTCATGGGGTGTTTAAAAATACTGTAGATGAAATTTTTAGCCATCCATTGGAGAGATGATGAACATTTTATAATTAAATGTTATAACATAGGATTCATTTCAATTTTTTTCATCTAAACTGAAAACCTTAATTAATTGTAATGTATTAATTGTTCAAACGGACCACGAAAGTAGTGAATTTAATGAATTAAAATGAAGTACACTTCACTATAGCTCTCCGTGAAAATTTCATTTGTCGTCGAGAATCCAATCCGATTACACGACATTTGAAAAATGGCAAAAAGGAGGGAAAACTCATAAGGTGGGGTTGAGGTAGGAAATTGATGTCCGAGTGGATCGAGGTCACGATAGCTCAAGTGGTAGAGTAGCGGCGTATCTAGCCGAAGATCGTGGGTTCGAATCCCGCTCGTGCCATTGACTTTTTTTCATCTCAACTAAAAACCTTAATTAATTGTAATGTCAAGCGGACCACGAAATTAGTGAATTTAATTAATGATACAGTTCTAGTTTGTCATGTAATTCTTTACACTTTTTTTTCTACAAATTCTGAATACATAGTATTCTCCTATATATTAGCATATTATTTTACGAGGGTTCGAACAGCACAGTATATGACCTCATCAATCCTCAGGGGGCCGATGTTTTTGAAAAAAAAACATTTGTAAGTACGTCGGGTTCGAATGCAGGGCCGCTGGATTCGAACCCGGGACCTTTACCTTACAGTGATGAGCGCCGTGTCAACGCCTAAACCGTTGCGGCCACCGCCGCATTAGCATAATTGTAGGTAAATTCTTGTCGAGAAGAGGAACATGAATGATCTACCTAGATTACAGATTTTATTTTCCATTGGCAAAAAGGCGTTTTTGACACATCCATTAAATCCCCTTGTTTACAAATTGGCGTATTTTCAATTTCGGTATGTTCCTCGGTGTCAAAATATAGTTCGATAAAAACCAGATAATCCATTAATACATTTAGCCGATAAAAGGACATCTTTCTGTTATGACACTCGATGCTAAACCGATATCAGTTCCCTCTGATAGCTTTTTATCTAAAAGGCGTATCGAGTTATTAATTCGAGATCCGGTTTCTTCACCCAGTAATTTCCCTTTAAATTCGGAATTGACTAAATTGTCTAAAATATAGTGATTATGTAGAATTTCCAGTCCACATTGATTCAGATGTAAACAGTTTTTGAAACTTGTTCACAATGCTTTTCTTATCTGTATCTTATTGTTTGGTTGAGTTAAAGTGTTAGTAGGGTGTCATCTGAATTCTCATCTGCCTCTTTGAATTGGGTTATCTCCCAGCCTTTTATCCATGTCCGCATTAGGGTTTTCTTTGATGTTGTTCCGGATCCGTAAGTGTATTCCGTAGTATTGGGCCTTTACAATATTCACAGATGAGCAATCGATATCGCTCTAATGCTCTCTCAGTATGTACATTATAAACAATTTGATGCATTAACATTAAATGAAATCCGATTAATTGAAATTAATTAACGAAGCGATTTACGTAGGAAACGACGTCATGTCAAAATTTACTAGTTTTTGTGGTCCGCTTGTCCAATTAATATCTTTGAATTAATTAAGGTTTTTAGTTGAGATAAAAAGTCAGTGTCACGAGCGGGATCCGAACCCACGATCTTCGGCTTGAAACGCCGCTGCTCTACCACTTGAGCTATCGTGACCTCGATCCACTAGGACACTTCCCATCTCAACCCCACATTTTGAATTTTCCCTCCTTTTTGCCGTTTTTCAACCAAAACCTTACATAAAAAGATTAATTAATTGAAAGAAGTAATTTGGTCAATAGTCCACTAAATATAATGGATTGATACATACAAACCGTTCGCTTGACCAATATCTTTCAATTAATTAAGGTTTTTAGTTGAGATAAAAAAACTCAGTGTCACGAGTGGGATTCGAACCCACATGTCATGTCAAAGCATGAAACTATATAAACCGCTTTGAAAGTTAATACTTTATACTCTTCTTGGGTGTTTGTGGACATTTTAGGTTATCAACTACTTTAAAAGATAGATGAACAACATACTAAGCCGGCCTTAATCATTTTTAATAGTTTGAGCTATCATGGTGGCCCGATCCCAAAACAGAAAAAACAGTGACAGTAGACCATCGATCGTATATTTTTATCGATGAAAACCTTCACCGTTCTATTATTCCCTATCATTTTAATTTTCTTATTTATTACACGTGATTTTTATTACTATGGTCTGGAATAGCACGTTTCAAGCTCAACCTGGTACAATTTTTTTTTCTACCGTTTAGCCGGCTTGCACCTGCGGTTTCGGTAATGGTATTGGGTGAAATTGACCCTTTTCCCTTTGGGTTTTTAACTGGATTTTCTTCAGTTGTAATAAAATGCATTACTGTACGATGTTTAATTGAGACACAATCAGACGAAATTTGTATAATCAGTTTTTTCACTCT